GTTGGATTGTCGATGTAGACTGACCTGAGGATCAGCAAATCCAGCTCCTCAGCGGCAGGAATACCAAGATCGCCTATAGTAGTTTTGAAGGAAGCTTTCCAGCTTCTGTAATTTTCAGGATGGTCATCGAAGCTTACTAGGCCTGACTTGGTGAGCTCACATCGAAGTATATACTTTACGAACTCTGCTGTATCAGTTGCCTCTGACCTTATGTAGGAGGTTGCTGGTTGAATGTTGTGGATTGTGCGGTTTATGGTATTGTTGTAAAAAGACGTGGGAAGATATGGTGCAGTAAGGGCGTTCAGCTGAGTTGTTGGGTTAAAGTCTGGAACGGTACTGTTAGCAGGAGGTTGGTGACTTGCTTGCAGATTGGTGTGCTGTTTTGTGACGTATGCAGAATCTGCATGACAGTCGGGAGATGCACTGGGGGTGGTTTTGTAGGAAGTTGCTGGAACAGCTTTTTCCTGGTGGTGTGGTGAAGTCCTTGTGTTGCCGTGAAGAATGGAGGCAATTGAGTGTTCACTGCTGTGGTTTAGAACATAGTTCTTTGTGCGTTCGAAAGGATCTTCCATATCTGCCTTGACACTGACCCTTTCACTAGCATTTTCATCTGCACCGATAGCTTGTTCCAAAATCTTTAGTTTTACTGCAGCTGCCTCGTAGTTGCTCTGTTCCTTTAAAGCTTCAATTGCTGCCCTTTAACGTGCTGTCTGAGCTTCCATTGCTGCAGCCTCTGCTTCCATGTCTGCTCTCTTTTTTGCATATGCAGCATGTACTTTGATGGCCTCTGCTTCGGCATGGGCATTTATAAGCTATTCCTTAAGCGCTGAGTGCCTTGAACTTCGGGATCTAGAGGAACTTTTAGAATGTCTGGTGGATATGGATCTGTGAGATACAGTGTCCTGTGGCTGCGTTCATTTTGCTTCTGCCTTTGCTTTAGTTAGCAGGATAAAACTTTCTCTTTCTACATTAAGAAGCTGGACGTTAAGTTGCTCTAATGATTCCTCAGTGTTAATGTTTTGCAGAATAGTTTTATATTTATTGCTTGTAGTCTGGTACAGTTCATATGAAGCAGAGAGATGCTTTATGGTGCCCTCTAGTTGCAGTACCTCATGGCTGTGACATGAAATCACATCAATGTGGGTGAGGATTTTATCCCAAATCTGCTTCAAACTGGTTGATAGTTTAGTTCTCTTTAACCTTCCAAATGGGTTTCACAGAGCGTTTAGCCAATGCTCTGGGTCCTCATCCTGGCTTTCTCCATGTGGTGCAAGCTGTGGTGTTTCATCACATACTGAGCCCTTTCCACTCATGATGGCCTGAAGTATACAGGCTTGGCTGTAGCAGTGAAGAGTGTCTGTATATTGTGTGGAGCTGTAACGAGCTGTGCTGGGGTTGTATGCAGACTTACAATACACACAAACACAGATAAATCTTACCAAAACGTAGTCTCATTCAATGGTAAAATATGGGGTACATGTCAAAATAAAATACAGAAAATACAATATAGTGTAGACGGTACTAAAAAATGGCTTCACAGTGATTATAATAATATCGTGTTGAATATTACACTCACATTTCAAGGAGCCTGTATATAGAAAAACACTGGCTCCGTATAAAGGCTTGTGTGCTGTTATGGTAGCACCACCCTCCTACTTCGAAGAATTGAAGAATTTGTACGTTATTACCCTATGCCTGTTTTTCCCATTGTGTTTTTACAGGTTTTATATTGAATATAAGGGTAATTATTGGTTCTCTGTGCTCTCACCATTTTTTACTGTTTTAACCATTTATTTATGTGAGGTGGAGTGACCCACATTGCTGGTGATTGTAGCACTTTGTCTTATATTGTTTTTTTCACCATATATACACTTATTTTACTGTGTTGAATATTACACTCACATTTCAAGGAGCCTGTATATAGAAAACACTGGCTCCGTATAATGTGTGCTGTTATGGTAGCACCACCCTCCTACTTCGAAGAATTTCTAGAAAAAAGCAAACCAATGTGTAGACTTATGGTGATAAATGACACAGATATGTGTTCAATAAATACCTGGTCCTGAGCCTACGAATCCAAAAAGTTTGAATGGGGATGGCACTACCCCTGTGAGATGAGGCTCCAAAAAGAACTAAACATAAAAACAAAGATGATAAAAATCCTCAAATAAAAGTCCTTTAAAAATGGCCAATACGCGTTTCACTCTCAAATAGAGCTTCAGTCAGCTGAAGAATACGCGTTTCACTCTCAAATAGAGCTTCTTCAGTACACAAGCCTTTATACGGAGCCAGTGTTTTCTATATACAGGCTCCTTGAAATGTGAGTGTAATATTCAACACGATATTATTATAATCACTGTGAAGCCATTTTTTAGTACCGTCTACACTATATTGTATTTTCTGTATTTTATTTTGACATGTACCCCATATTTTACCATTGAATGAGACTACGTTTTGGTAAGATTTATCTGTTTGAGCGCTCCACTTATAGGTGTAGGTCCTTGTCACTTACACCGCACCAATATCTACTAAATTTATTCAGTGGAATAGAGGATATTTCCACATTAGTGTATTGAGCTGCCTGTAAATCACTTTTTGACTCTTTTGAGCACTTTTGTTATACACACTCCTCTGTAAAAAGAGGCAACCTTTGATTTGATTCTTACAATACACACAGTTACACTTCGCTATGATATGTCCTGTGACGCAGCAATCTCTGTACAAGCTGCTGGCTACGTTCTTTTACTGGACTGGCTGCAAAGGCTATGAATGTGGTTTTCAGGAGCACATGGCGCTCATTGCCCTGATGAGATCATCCATACCAAATCACCTTCCCAGATAGTTTACTCCGTCACAATTCACATGAAAGAAGATCTGGCGATGTTTATCCGTCGTATGATCTGTAGAATGTGCAGTTACAACAAGTAAAAGAACGATTTTTCCATACAGGTTAGGAGAGATACATCAAGTCACATTGAATGTACAGCATAAAAAAGGGACTAATACAGGAAAGGGCCTCAAGCAGCATGCAAACTACGGAGTGGCACAAGAGACTTAAGATGAACGTTAAAGAAACAGTACATTTATAATAGAACGATATCATGTAACATGACAACAACAGTGACAAAAGGCAAGTTGCTCTGTCTCGTGATGTTCTCCATTTGAAAGGTGGCTGATTTTATGGGAGTGTTTTTTGTTTTAAATGTAGTCTTATTCTGCCAGGCAAGGCTACATTTCCTTCAAATTTGTCTTCCATGGTGGATAAGGAGCAGATTTTAGATGACATGATGTTCTATTGGGCCAGATGGCTGGCCCCTTTTCTAATCTGTCATTTGATAATCTTTTGGTGTCTCCTCTTAGACTTGTCTCCAAGAAAGTGCATTCTGGCATCACTCATCATTCCCAGCAGGGTAACATGCACTTGGAGGTGATTCAGTCCCTCCAGCTTGTAGTGTGATGCCAATGAGTCAGGCCATCTGCCACTGCTTGTTCACAGTTTGGATTAAACAGCCTTTCCATTTTATTTGGAGTAATAGACCTCAAACTTAAAGGTGAGCACAAACCTGTAGTTGAGGAGCTAGTTTTTGACTGTTTTAGAATGGGCATACTTGCTGTCAGATGGCAGAAGTTTTCAGTTCTGACCTTGACTTGTTTGCTGATGCTTCAGGGTCTGTTGGTTTTGGAGCATATTGTCCTGGTCAATGGTGTGTAGAGCAGTGGCCAGTTGCCTGGCTTGAGTCTGATCTTGCCAGGAACCAATTTTTTTTTCCCCAAAGTTTTCTGATGTTTTCTGTAGAGTTATGGGGGTTCCATGTTTTTCACATGGACAATATGAGTTCAGGTCATTAATAGTGCTACCGCAGGTTCTCCCCCAGTGTTGTTTGAACTGCATCACTTTGGTTTTGCAGTGTTTGGATTATAATTGGCTGCTCATGATCTTGGGGTGAATAACCTCCATTGCCAATTCTCACTCTGCTCCGGATGAGGCACTGCCTCAGCAAATCTGGGGTTTGGTTAATATGGGAAGGTTGTAGAGTTGAGTATGTGCAAGTTTAATAAGACCATACCCAGGTTTTTTTAAAGGATTGGTAGTTTGGTCATCTGTCATAAGGAGCTGGAGGGTAATAATCAAGATCTGGTTAGGAGGGATGGGTTCCATTTGAACCTTATTGGACATTTTCAGTACAGGGCTCCAATCACTAGTGGAGTTAGAGCTGGCTTTGGGGGAACACAGCCCAGACCCTTGCTGTGGTGGTTTTGCCTCATCAGCATAAGATTTACACAAAAATAGAAAAAAATGAGGCCTGTGCAGACAATTGCAAATGTGCACAGCAAGTGCTAGAAAAAGATTTCATTTTTAAGGGCATAAGATAAAAACATTTCGGGTAAATCCCTTTATCAGTGGATGCATGCATCCAATGTCAAGGCATGTTGCGGCGCTTTCGTCTGGGACTTTAATATGTACAAAAACAAAGTAATCAGTTTTATTGGTTAAAAACAGATTGTACTGTACTATCAAACCATATTTTAAGACCGATTTTTATACATGAATGCATTCTTTTCTAAGGGCTCTTATTTATCTTGGCTGTCCTTACTGGACTTGGTCAGTTACAGCCTGCACTTGGTCTAAGATATGATGCAGGTTGTGGAAGACTCTAGAGAATATTGTTGGGGAACCTTTCTACTGGCTAGTTATCCACTAGCTGACAGTCTGTTGTAGCTGGCATTAATTTAGAAATGGAGCTGTGGCCTTTGACCCACCCAACTGAAGGAATTGATGTGGTGTGGATTTTTGGCAAGAGAAGATATGCAGAGCAACGTCGGCAGTCAAGGAATTGAGAACAATTTATAGCTAACAAGCACTGTTTCCCCCAAGGTGTGTGCTTGTGCATGCGAACACACCTTTTTGAGGAAGCGCACAAATAGTAAGAATTTGCATTTTGGGGTTTTTCGTGCCGGGGAAACTAGTGTACCGCACTCACATTAGAGGGGCCGACCAGCTGGTCTTTCTTCTTTTCTGCAGACATGGAGGAAAGCTGTCAGATCACTGCACGTCCCCAGGTGCTGTGGGCCAGTCCGGCCATGTAGCTTGCCTTCCATTTTAGTCAGGAGCTAGTGCTTCTTTCATTTCTTCAGTCTCTGCCAGAAGAAGAGACTTGATGTGTTGCTTGTCCATTTGCGCAACATGCTCACTGAGGGTGCAGACATTTGTAATCGCCCACTAACTGTTCCACAACTCACTGAGGGAGTCGGTGTTGCTGGCTGAATTCCCAGAATCCACTCTGGCACATCACTAAGGACTGGACCAGTAAGCGTTAGAGTCTGTGACTCTCACTACTGTAAGTTTTATTGTGTGTAGCTCTGTAAAACTAATACACACAGCGCATTACTGTAATTTATTAAATGGTTTCCTGTGAAGCTTTGATTCAATTACACTGAACATTACCATTAGTTTTCATGGTGATGAGGTCAAGGTTTATAATACCAATGTTTATAAAACCAAAAAGAAAATCCCTCAATCAATATAAATGAGGAAAACCCAGAGTTCACGGCATTACAACTCACAGTATTGTATGGCATGAATAAATATCAAGATGCTCTAAAATGGTCCAAATATTCCTTGCTCTACAGTTCTTAAACTGTAGGGCAAAGTATTATGGTGGTCACCTTAACACTCTGCTTGTTTACAAAATAAAGATCAGGTGTCATTTGTTAACCTAAAATTTTCAATGTATAGTTTTAAAAAGATGTAACGTGTTGACTTCTATATATTATTTATTTTCCAGAACTTGAGTTAATACACTGGGATCTTTATCGACGTTTAAATATACAGGATCATCGGACTAGTGACTATCTCACATCTCACCTTGTTGTACGGCGAGGACAGTCATTTTATATCTCTTGCTCATTTAATAGAGAAGTGATGCCAGAAAAGGATGCGCTTGACCTTTTTCTTGAGATCGGTAAAGTTTGGTAATCCAATTATAACTATAACTAATATGGTTTTCACCAATGACACTACTTGTGGATGTTTGTTGCACACCCATAAAGCTTAAAAAATGCCTAATTGGTTTCTCAGCATTAGATACAGATGCCTTCTAGTACCTCGTTTGTCTGGTTTAATTTTACACAAGGTGTTTGTGTAATATTGCTTTTGATGAAGTTGGGGAAAATGGAGAGCTTAAATGGTGGCTGTCAAGCCTAGAGGTTTGAACTGCTAGATGACACCAGAATGTAACCCCTTCTGGAATAAAAGGGAATCATGACATGTCACACATGTCATGTGTCCTTAAGGGGTTAAGCATGGCGGCACTTTTCTATTATGTACTGGAATTTTAGTAGACGGGGCAAAAACTGCATGGGTTTTATATTTCTGGATATTCCAGCTACTGAGTTGTAATTTTGTTTCTTTAATGCAATACAACTTGTAGAACAATGTTATTTCATAGTTATTCTATGAATATGTAAAAGGAACTCTCTAAACACTATAACAAATACGGTGGTTTTGGTGCCAGGGGTGCCCTAATGTTGTCCCAGGGTAACTGGTGGTTGGATAAACTGCCTATGGTCCACCGGTTGCCAGTCAGCAACTCCTCTTGAGTTGGAAGCTCCTGCAAAGAGCTTCTGTTGGCTCCATTAAGCTAATCCCTCCTGTAGACGGTAACAGGCTGAGAGCGCATCGACTCGTGGCTCTCAGCCAATCAGCCCTCCCTGCACCGCCAGGCTCGGTGCAGGAGCTTCTTACTGGAGAGAAGCAGATGGTAGACCCAAGTTAAATAACTTTCAAGGTTCTTCACTAAAGTGAGAATTACTGGAGTTCAAAGTTCTTTGGAAATAAAGCTAAAATGAACACAGAATTGACATTCAAAAGTATTTTTTAAATAGTTTTTATTTTTTTAATTTTTTTTTATTTCCATTCCCATTAAATTCAGAGAGTCCATGGAGTGAGATTTAAAAGAGGAATGTGTATGGCACAGCCTCTGTACTTTCTATGACTTGTTTATTAATACATTCCTAACATCACCAAGGCTATTTTGGGTCCTTTAAATTCAGTGGTTTCCGTTCATAGCGTTTGTATCAATGTGGAGATGTCTATCTGTGAGTGTTGTCTTATAATAAATTAAGTGTACCACTGACTTTTTGCCTGCAGTCTGTCGGGATAAATTTCATCTAACCTTGTCATATTTTCTTTATCCAACTCGTCATTTAAAAAAAAAAAAAATTACAATGGTGTAGTATATTCCACTATCTTTTTTTTTTTGAAAGCTCAATCATGCATGTCACTTTATATCCATATAAAATATTGCTTCCTTTTTGTAGGTGATCCTTCAGTAAAAGCAACGTTTCTGGAGTATAAAATGCCAGTATTCCAGACTTGTAATGGTACTAGTTGGGAAGCTAACTGTATAAACATGCTTGGTACTTCTATGACCATAGCTGTACATGCTTCAAGACGTGCAGTTGTTGGACGATACAAATTATTTTTGAAAATTCTAAACGATGCAGGAAATGGAAATAAACAAATTCTTGGATACGTCTATATTCTCTTTAATCCTTGGGTGCAAGGTATGAATAGATGTATGCTGTGGTGTTTGTTTTTTTTTGTTTTTTTTTTATGTTCTCCGAATTTGCTATTTAGACCAATGTAGGCTAAAATATTTGGGGAAGGAAAGCCTGAATGATCTTATAGCTACATTTTGAATTTATTTTCTGTAAAACTCAACTGGTCTTCAGAAACCCATAAACCTGATTTGATTGTTGAATGCATTTTATTGCTATGACTGATGTGTTGGTGTATTTTTATAAACTTTGTTTTCCCCTTCCCGCTAGAAATCACCTTGTAGTAAAATATTATGGTGGTGATGGTCTGAAAGCGGTCAGCTGACTCTCTCAGCCAATCAGTGACTTCCCATTCATAAAAGTGGCTTGAAAAGGTACATTTCTTCTTACTTTATGTATTGGGACTGTTGTTGCGATGGTCATTGTTGCCATCCAAGAGTAGTGGGAGTTTGAGCGCAGGACTTATTTTTGTGTAAGTTTCTTTTGAAGCCACTTTTATGAATGGGGAGTCACTAACTTAAGAATGGTTTAGCCCCTTAAGATAAGAATGGGCCTTGGGGCCTCCTAGCACTATAACCACTTCATTCAGATTAACATTGTTTGCTTGGAGTGTTTCTTTTAAACCAGCCACTCAATCAATATCCGCCTAATATGAGATCACTGAACTATTTAAATTCTATATTAGAAAATTGTCATAAGATAAAAATATTCAGTTGTATACAATGACTTTAAAGCTGCACTGTCATGCCGAACTTGCCTTTCCCCAATCAATTTCTCTTCTCTCCCTGTCAGTATCATTTCTTCATTTCTTCCTATCTATCTGGTCTAGTAGGGACTACTTTGCCTTATGGAGGTTTCCTACGCCTGACAAGCTATGACCAGCGGAGGAGCAAAGTGTGCTTCATTTCTGGTGATCAAAGCAATTTTCCCACATTTCTCACCTTTGATCCGTGATCTTGCGAAGCTTCCTGTCTGTATTCCCTACTTCCTGTCACTTTGACAGAACGCTGGCGAAAAAATGATTTGCGTCCTAACAGAATGAGAACCGTTAGTTCATTCGTGCAAGTCAGGACTTTGTTTGGGTCAGAATTTCATTTGAATGCATGGCACAGCAACCAAACCAAAACCAGCAAAAAATTTAAACTGCAGAGAAGAGATTCTGACTCTCATCTGGCTGCCACAAACTCACGCAAGCCTAAATCCCCAAAAAAGCTATGGAAAAAGCCATGCAAAACAAGTAAATCTCAAAGGCCAAAGAGGCCACCACCGATAAAACCCCAAACTATCCATGAAAAATGCCAAGGGATATTGGCATCAGGAATCGCCACCCCCTAACCAACTACTGAATTATAGACACTCTGGAAACTCTCCCATTTCATGAAACTAAGCAAAGAACTGAAAGATTCCTTTCCTCAGAAAACCCTTGCACATATAGAACAGTATAACAGGGTAGCAGTAACCCGGTTCGAACCTCACCGGCGGACCACACACCTATCCTATCCATCAGGAGAACTAGCAATACGGCCTCAGTGCAATACATCCTGAGCTACTGCTGGTACTCTTTAATATTTGTCTAAGGATACAAGAGTCAAGGCTGCGAGTTGAGGGTAAAACTAATTGATTCAATGGCAATTTAAACAATTTACCAAGCCAGAAAACAACCCCTCTGGACCTGATGGTACACTGGACAATGCAATGTCTCAACCAATAAGGATAAAGTGCATTGTTTGAACACACTCCCCCCTCCCCTGGAGATAATTGGTCCCAACGGTTACACTTTCCAAACTATCCCCTGGCACATGAAAATACGTTTTATTCCCCACATAAAATAACATAAAAATACATAACTTTTATACTTCAATAATATCCCATTCGACCCTTCTCTGGATAGCTCAGATCTGAGCACACGAAATATACGAATGGTGCTCAGATCTCACGAATAGTGTGCAAGAGTCACGAAAGTAAAGTCTGTTCGTGTGGTTCTTATACGAAAGGATGGGATAACTGACACCTCAGCGGGATTCGTATAAATCAGTAGCCGATTTATAGTTCCTGGAGTCTTAACCTTAGGTCCTGCTGAGCATTCGACGACAGAAAGATGGCCGCCGCCTCATGTTCAAAATACGAACGGTGACCACCTTGGAATAGGTACTTAGAGTGCGGTTAACCATAAAAACCACAGCTTAATTGAGGACACACGCCAGTATCTAGGTGGCCGTCGTTCAACAGTTCTTTTGTGCGGTGGTTCAGTACTTCGTTCGGTTATTTGGATCCGAACGGTGACCACCCTGATGCCAGCCAATCAGGCTGCGGTTAACCGCAAACCACAGCTCCCGGGAGGTTAATTGTCGGCACACTCCTGGGGTAACGTGGTCCGCTGTTCGCCTGTTCTTTCGGTGGTTTCGAGGTCAATGGGGTTAACTAGCGGCACACGCCTAGGGCCGGGTGGCCGGTCATTCGTACATACGAATGACTGGTAAAATGGGTTAGCATAAAACAAAGTATCAAAGTGAAACAAAAGTATCTGTATGTATCCGACAGAGGAAATCTCTGTAACACCAAGGTATTGCAAATGGGATATGTCCAGTCTTTTTTTTTATTTTTTATTTATTTTTATTTTTTTTGCCACTTAGTCACAAACA